ATCAATGTGATACATCATATCAACAGAATAAAGGAAATAAACCATATGATTATTTCAATTGACGCTGAAAAACCATTGTATAAAATTCAACATCCCTTCATGATAAAAACTCTCAAAAAACGGGATATAGAAGGAACTTATCTCAACATATTAAAAGCCATCTATGGACCAGATGCGGTGGCTCACACCTGTAATCCTAGCACTCTGGGATGCCGAGGCGGTGAATTGCTCAAGTTCAGGAGTTCAAAACCAGCCTGAGCAAGAGCGAGACCCCGTCTCTACTATAAATAGAAAGCAATTCATTGGCCAACTAATATCTATAGAAAAAATTAGCCGGGCATGTTGGCGCATGCTTGTAGTCCCAGCTACTTGGGAGGCTGAGGCAGCAAGATTGCTTGAGCCCAGGAGTTTGAGGTTGCTGTGAGCTAGGCTGATGCCACGGCACTCACTCTAGCCTGGGCACAAAGCAAGACTTTGTCTGAAAAAAAAAAAGGCCATCTATGACAGACCCACAGTGAGTATCATACTGAGTGGAGAAAAACTGAAAGCCTTTCCTTTAAGATCTGGAACAAGACAAGGATGCCCACTTTCACCATTGTTATTCAATGTAGAACTGCAAGTTCTAGTTAGACAAGAGAAAAAATAAAGGACATCAAAACTGGAAAGGAACAGTCAAATTATCCCTGTTTGTAGATGATGTGATCTTATATCCAAACAAACCTAAAAACTTCACACAAAAAAACTATTAGAACTGATAAACAAATTCAGACAAGTTGCAGGATACAAAAATCAACATACAAAAATCAGTAGCATTTTTATTTGCCCACAGTAAACAATCTGAAAAAGAGACCAAGAAAGTAATCCCATTTACAATACCTATAAATAAAATAAAATACCTAGGAATAAACTTAACCAAAGAAGTGAAAGATCTCTATAATAAAAATTATAAAACACTGATGAAAGAAATTAAAGAGGACACCAAAAAATGGAAAGCTATTCCATGGTCATAGATTGAAAGAATCAATACTGATAAAATGTCCATACTATGCAGAACAATCTAAAGATTCAATACAATTCCCATCAAAATTCACAGAAATACAAAAAATAATCCTAAAATTTATATGGAACCACAAAAGACCCAGAATAACCAAAGCCATCCTGAGCAAAAAGAACAAAACTGGAGGAATCACATTACCTGACTTCAAATTATACTACAGATCTGTAGTAACCAAAAGAGCATGGTACTGGCACAAAAGCAGACACATAGATCAATGGAACAGATTAGTGAACCCAGAAATAAATCCACACATCTATAGTGAACTTGTCTTTGACAAATGTGCCAAAAACATACAGTGGGGAAAGGACAGTCTCGTCAATAAATAGTATTGGGAAAACTGGATATCCACATGTAGAAGAATGAAACTAGACCCTTATCTCTTGCCATATACAAAAAATCAAATCAAAATGGATTAAAGACTTAAATCTAAGACTGTAAATTATGAAACTACCAAAAGAAAACATTGAGGAAATGATTCAGGACATCGATCTGAGCAAGGACTTCTTGAGTAATACCCCCGAAACACAGGCAACCAAAACAAAACAAAACAAATCACATCAAACCAAAAAGAAAAGACACAACAAAGCAAACAAAACACAAAAGAAAGAGACAACCCAAAGAATGACAGAAAATATTTGCAAACTACCCATCTGACAAGAGATTAATAACTAGACAATATAAGCAGCTCCAACAACTCAATAGGAAAAAAAATCAAGTAATCTGATTAAAAAATGGGAAAAGGATATGAATCGACATTTCTCCAAAGAAGTCATACAAATTTCCAACAGGTATATAAAAAATGTTCAACACAATTTAGTCATCAGAGAAATGCAAATCAAAATTACAATGAGATTTCATCTCGCCCCAGTTAAAACGGCTTTTATCAAAAAGACAGGCAATCATGAATTCTGGTGAGGATATGTAGAAAGGGGAACCCTTGTCCTCTGTTTGTGGGAATGTAAATTATTACAACCACTATGAAAACCACTATGGAGTTTCCTCAAAAAGCTAAAAATAGAACTACTGTATGATCCAGAAATCCCAATGCTGAGTATATATCCAAAGTAAGGGAATTCAGTATATCAAAGAGATATCTGTTCTCCCATGTTTACTACAGCACTATTGACAACAGCCAAGATTTAGAATCAACCTAAGTATCCATCAATGGATCAGTGGATAAAGAAATTGTGGTACAAAAATACAATTGAATATCATATAGCCTTAAAAAAATAATGAAATCCTCCCACTTACAACATGGATGGAACTTGAGAACATTATGTTAAGTGAAAGAATCCATGCACAGAAAAATATATATCGTATGTTCTCACTCATATGTGGTAGCTAAATATTAAAAATAATTGATCTCATGGAGATAGAAAGTAAAATAATGGTTACCACAGGCTGGGAAGGGTAGTGGGGTGGGGAATAAAGTGGATATGGTTAATAGGTACGAAAATATAATTAGTTAGAATGAACACTATTTGATAGCACAACGGAACAACTATAATCGACAAAAAATTAGGGTATACTTTATAATAACTAAGAGAGTGAAACTGGAATGTTCCTAACAAAGAAATGATAAATGTGTGAGGTGATGGATACCCCATTTATCTTGATTTCACATTGTATGCCTGTATCAAAATATCACATGTACCCTATAAATATATGCAACTATTATGTTGTTATTTATATATAAATATAAAAAATCATGAAGGCAATCTCATTTACAGTAGTTACAAAATATATAAAATTCCTAGGAATAAATTTAACCAAAGTGAAAGATCTCTACTAGGAAAACTACATAATGATGATAAAAAAAAATTTAAGAGGACAAAAACAAATGAAAAAGCATTCTATGCTAATGGAATAAAAGAATTTATATTGTTTAAATGATCGTATTATCCAAAGCAATCTACAAGTTCAATGCAACCCCAATTAAAATAACAATGACATTCTTTACAGAAATAAAAAAAAGAATTCTAAATTTCATATGGAACCAAAAAAGAGCCCAAACAGCCAATGCAATCCTGAGCAAGAAAAAAACCAAAGCTGGAAGCATCACACTGTCCAACTTCAAAATATACTACAAGGCTTTATTAACCGAAACAGCATGCTATCACTATGAAAGCAGGCACATAGACAAATGGAACAGAATAGAGAACCCAGTAATAAATCCATATATCATGGCCATCCGATTTTTGCCAAAGGTGCCAAGAACCTACATCCTCTTTAATAAATGCTGCTAGGAAAACTGGATATTCATGTAAAAAAAAAAAATGAAACTAGACCCATATCTCTCACCATATACAAATCTCAACTCAAAGGTATTAAAAACTTAAATGTAAGACCCCAAACTATATAACTACTAGAAGAAAACATAGAAGAAATGCTCCAGGACATTAGTCTAGGCAAAAATTTTAAGGCTAGGACCTCAAAAGCATAGGCGACAAAAACAAAAATAGACAAGTGGGACTATGTTAAACTAAAAAGCTTCTGCACAGCTAAGGAAACAATCAACAGAATTGAACAATCTGTTTAACAGGAGAAAATATTTGCAAACTATCCATCCAATAAAGGACTAACATCCAGAAAATACAAGGAACCCAAACAACTCAACAGCAAAACCCCCCCAAATAATCCCAATTAAAAAGTGGAAAAGGATCTGAACAGACATTTCTCAGAAGAATAGCCGATATGTATATGAAAAAATGCTCAGCATCACTACTCATCAGGGAAATGCTCATCAAAAACCACAGTGAGATATCATCTTATCCCAGTTAGAATAGGTATTATCAAAAAGACAAAAAATAACAGATGCTGGCAAGGATATAGAGAAAAGGAAACTCTTATACACTGTTGGTGGGAATGTACATTAGTACAGCCACGATGGAGATTTCTCAAAAAAAAAAATTAAAATTAGAACTACCATATGATCCAGCAATCCCACTGCTAGGTATTTATCCAAAGGAAAGGAAATCAGTATATTAAAAGGATACCTGCATACCCATATTTTTTACGGCACTATTCACGATAGCAAAAATATTGAATCAACCTTAGCATCTATAAACAGATGAATAGATAAAGAAAATGTGGAATATATACACAATGAAATACATTTCTTGGGCCACAAGAAAAGAATGAAGTCCTGTCATTTGGAGCAACATGAATTGAATTGCAAGTTATAATGTTAAGTAAAATAAGCCAGGCACAGAAAGACAAATATTGTATGTTCTAACTCATATGTGGGAGCTATAAAAGTAGATTTGATGGTGTTAGAATGTAGAATGATAGTTACCAGAGGCTGACAAGGGTGTGGGGCTTAGAGGATGAAGAGACATAGGTGAATGAGTACAAATATATGGTTAGATAAAAGGAATAAGTTCTCATATTCAATAGCACAGTAGGGTGACTATAGTTAACAAGAATGTATTTAATATTTCAAAATAGCTAGAAGAGAAGATTTGAAATGTTCCCAAAACAAAGAAATGATAAATATTCGAGGTGATAGATAGCCTAAATACCCTGACTTGATCATTACACATTCTATGCATGTATCAAAATATCACATGTATCCTATAAATATATACAAATATATATCAATAAAAAAACTAGAAGAAAGAAAGGTATAGTACTTAACAATGGTAAAAGAATCAAAGTGTTTTTCATCTGTTGATATATTCCAAATGTTATTCTCTACACCACTTTGATTTTCCTTTTGCCTTCTTCATAATTTCAAATATCTGGGAATTTCCAGTTACCTAGACATTGAACTGATACATGAATGTAAGATGATAAACCCTTAGCAAAGCTCTTAGGAAAGCAAAAGAGTCAGTAGTCATAGTCTCAAAAATCATACAAAACTTTCACGTAGCAATGTAGTTATTCACACATAAATGATCAACCATGGCTAGATAAAGTCGAAGAACTCTAGTTATAGTATTACCTTTGACCAATTGATTCTCTTCATGGACACTTCAGGTTTGTATAATTTTTTCTGCTTCATTCCATAAGGTAGAGCAAATGATGCTCCTGGGGGAGGAGGAATTCCTCCAAGGGGTGGTGGTAGAGGGGGTCCCCCAAACAAAGGTGGTAGTGGTGGTGGTGGTGGTGGTGCTATCCCAGTCATTCCAGGTAAAGGAGGTGGGGGAGGAGGAGCAATTCCTCCAGGTAGAGGTGGTGGTGGTGGAGGTGGTGGTGGAGATAGCCCAGCTCCTGGCAATGGAGGTGGAAGAGGAGGACCTAGATTTCCTGAAGCTGAGAGTCCATGTCCCTGAAATATAAATAACCCAAGTTAAATGCTTCTAAAATATAGCACAAAGAATACATATTGGTAAACAACTGTGGTTTAAGATTATATATACCTTATTTAATTTTTAAGATTATATATGCTTTATTGAGGTGTTATGAAATAAAGATAAATACTTAAGATAACATCTAAGGGTTTAACAGTATTAATACATGAAAAAGAGCTGTGTAGATTTTTGATAAGCACAATAAACTCTAAACAATGACTAATTATGCTAATACACTAATGCTAGGAAAGTTGGTATCCTCTAAAATTTTGTGAAATAGTCTTCCAAAATAATGAAAAATTACCTTTCACTACAAATATATGCAAAGAAGTACTGTATATGGCTTGCGTCTATTAGGCTACTTGGTTTTGAATATATGATAATTAATACAAGGTTATGAATTCAATTCCCTTGGGGGCCAATTAGCTTTACACAAAGAGTGTGTTTCATAGCACCAGTAACTTTGCTGTCTTCTAATACCAGTAATTAATACTAGCATTCATTTGCATATGCTTATCAACATTTTCACATTTGTTATTTCTTTTGATCTGTATTATAACCCTGTAATGTAGATACGGCATTTTAATCTCACCTTTATCTCATTGCTTATAGATGAGGAAACTGTAACTGAAAAAAAGTTAAATGACTAATCAAAGGTCACACAGTGGGAAATGTGATTAGGATTTGAAAGTGGTTCATATCACACCCAAAGTAGTCCTCTTTCCACTATAACAAACTATATCTTCATGAAAGAGTGTCATTTGTTATTAGAATTAATTCAAACAGATCAGATTATGAGGAGAGTATAACATTTCTACTGTCAGAAAGTAACTTCAAGCTTGTTTTCTAATGACAATGGATAAAAGATGAAGAACATTGCAGTCTATATTCTATTCTTATTTGATGATTAATCTGTAGCCATTTCTTTAAACCATTACTGATCACATAGTTTATTTTCCTAAATAAATCAATATAAAATTGGAGCTGTACATTATAAATATTCCTAAGAAACCACTACCAATGAACAGACATATCTTATAATCAAGATATGGCATTAGATTAACGAAATGAAAGGTTTAAAACTAAGAAAATTTCTTGATGGCGTAATTTTTATTTTCTTAGAAAATCCCCTTACATTTATTAATATGAATTTTCTACTTGGACTCTTTGTGCTAACTAAACTTAGAAGTATCTTAACAAAATAAATAAGTTGAAGCACATTTTTGGAGCAATAAATTTTTTTAAAGGACTGACCTATTTACAGAAATATTAAAAGTTAATGCTCATAGGTAGACATAATTATAAAAATGTTTCCCATAATATTCACTGCACATAAAACAAATATTTTATTCACATAAGTCAATGTTTATGTTTGTATATCTACATATACAAATAAAGTGCTTCTGTAGTTAATAAATGACAATCTTCTCCTGGAATGTAATCCTCTCTGAAGTTAGGAAGAATTAAAGACAGGATTAAACTATGCAAAATTTTTTATTTCTAATACAGCAAAACCATAGGAAACAGTCTGACTTTTACAGTCTTGATTGAGATCAAAGAAATTGTGGGGAAAATTAAAAGTTCAGGAAATTAGTAATTTATCTGACAAGTTTTGTGTATGAATGGATTTTCTGCATACTTTGAAAGGAAAAATGTATGTTTCATTTTTATTAACAGAAAATAAAATTAATGTACATTTGTAAGCATCAATTTTGCCTGTATTAGATCATATTTATGTTATGAAACTTGTACAATCACAAAGTGCTATTATTTAAAATAAGATTTTACTCAAGTTAAATATATATTTTACAAATTTAATAAAGAATCTCAAATGTTTACATTAAATGCCACCAGCCTTTAAAAATCAAATCACATCAGCCTGTTCTTCCCTCTCATGAACAATTAGGAATCAAACAATTAAATTAGGCTACAACATAGTCTTGTGAATTAAGTATGGCAAATGAATAATTGAATATTTGACACCATTTGGGGTGCACTAGATAGTACTGCGTGACTGCACTTTCACAGTTAATTTAGCAATAAATAAGCAGCTACTCACTAAGTCATATAGCCCTGTGCTATGCGCAATAGGGCCTTGAGTAAGAATAAGAAATACATCATCCTCAAGCTGCCTATGCCTGAGTGGAAGAAATAGAGCAAGAGTATAAACAAATATCATATGAATGGTCTAAAAAAGTGTTATGAAAGTTCAGAGAAATCCCCCAGTGGAGTTTTTGGTGAAGCTTTCCAAAGGATGTCTTACTGAGCTTCTTTTCCTTAAAGGATATGTTTTACACGCACAGATGAGCAAGGGAGGGCATTTCTGACAGAGAATAACATATGCCAACATTTCTTAACTAAGCTGGATTAAAACACTATTTCCAGAAGATGTTAATAGGTATTCTGAGATAAAGGGCACTGTGCTCAAATGAGTCTGGGAAAGCCATATGAAAAAGAGGTAGACAAGTTTCTTCAATGTAAAAACATCTTGGATCCTTTAATATGCTAATGAGTATTAGCATATTATTAATACTCCAAGAGGAGAATTTTATATGTACCCAATTTATTGGACTACAGAACGCTTTCCTTATGAAAAACCTATTAGCATCTCTGTAACTAATGTCTGGGAAACGCTGGAAAAAGGAAAAGTGCGGAGACAGTAAGTTCCGAACGCGAAGGGAGGAAAGGTGACTTAGCTGCAACAGAGGCTGTAGTTAGGAGAGCAATCATAGCCTAGGCTGCAAAGGGGAGATAAGGGAGCCCATGCCAGAAGGCCTTAAAATTCCTGGTAAGGAGATTTTATTTAATCCTGACTGCAACAGGCAGCCATCGAACATATTAAAGCCTGGAGTGACAATAATCAGGGCAGTGTTTTAGGAAGATTAATTTGCCACTGACATAAAGGATGAATCTGAGGAGGAAGAGATGATAGGCAAGAGAAAAGTTTTGAAAACAATGGTAATAGTCTAGGGAAGATGTAATGAGTGAGTGAACCTGGGGCTTCTGGGTTTTGATGCAAGGTTGGGGAGGGTAAGTCAGAGAAAGAACAGACATAAAACAGTGACTAGCTTAATTTGTCAGGAGGTGAGGCAGGGAAAAGGGAAAGAAAACTCCAGCTTCACTATCTTAAAAAATCGTAGTAAAATTTAAACCAGAATGGACACCAAGATGGTTTGAGGAAAGAGAGGAGACTGTAAACACTGGGTCTGATTTCAACATGCAGCAGGAATTTCCTATGGAGCTAGCTGGACACAGAAGACAAACCCAAGAGAATTGACACCTACTAAAAGGTGGTATTTGAATGTATGAAACTGAATAGGATATTACAGCAAGGATATACAGTGAAAATAAAAGAGCAGAAGACAGAACGTTGTAGAACATTACAATTTGGAGGAAGAAACAATAAACAGAAACTGAGTTCTCAAACATGTAGAAAAAGAAGTTAGATGAGTGAGAGAGAGGGAGAAAGAGAGATTGATTTAGTGAAAGAAAATGATCAAGGCAGGATAAGGGTAGGAAAAACCCACTTTTAAAGTAGTTTTTCAATAGACTGATAGAAACAGACCCAGTCAATCAATAAACACCTACTGAGGATCCACTATGTTAAGATGTTATCTTCAATTTCTTTGCCATGGCGTCAGCCTAGCTAAAAGCAACCTCAAACTCCTGGGCTCAAGCAATCCTCCTGCCTCAGCTTCCCGAGTAGCTGGGACTACAGGCATGCGCCACCACAGCCAGCTAATTTTTTCTATATATTTTTAGTTGTCTGTCCAGCTAATTTCTTCCTATTTTATTTTAGTAGAGACAGGGTCTCACTCTTGCACAGGCTGCTCTCGAACTCCTTAGCTCAAAGGATTTGCCCACCTCAGCCTCCCAGAGTGCTAGGATTACAGGCGTGAGCCACCACAACCGGCCTTCAATTTCTTAATATTCATTGAAGACATAAAGTATGTTGAGGAGAGTACTTAATCAGTTTTAAAGTTTAGACACTCTAATTAAGAACTTAAGTGTATATGGGAGCATGTGGTCATAGGGAACATAGGTGGAAATGCAAAGTTTATAGATTTTTAAATGATTTTATTTGGGATTTAAAGAGATCTCAAGAAGCTTTTGGGATAATTACAAGTAATGAGCATTTCCACATTATTTTTGAAAGAAAATACTATGCACCCAATTTTTCAAATCATCATAAAAATTTCATTTCAAAAACAGTTTTGCCTGTGTAATAGATTCTGTTAAAAAATATTCAGGGTAGTTTGAGCAACTAATGCCTTGTTTTTTTTCCCCAAACATTAAAATGATTTATCCTCCTGGAAAATCAAATCTGTAGAGTTATTTCAACTAAAATGTAAAACTGCCAAAAAGTCTGCTTTTGGTCACATTTTTCCTTGTATCTAACAAGATAATATTCTACCATTGAACTCACTGTGACATGACACAAAGTCTATATCTTCTTTCATTACCTGGGTTCGAAGTTGCTGGATTTCTGTTTCAAGTTCTTTGATTTTTTCTTCTCTTTTTTGAAGCTCAGCTTGAGCTTCCTGTCGAGCTGTGAATTCTTCATCAAACTGCAATGAACACCACCATAAATGTATGGTTAATACTACAGTTTTCAGAAAACTTTAAACAACATTATGTATTAAATAAGTAGAGCCATTTTTGCTTAGCTAAATTCCCAGACCATTCAGAAAAATCAGGGCTCTTGATTATTTTCATGACAATTAAGTACCCCGTGGGGTGGGGTATTGCTGGTGGTGGCAGTGGTAGTAAAGAAGAAATATGCTCCCTACCCAAGGTAAGCAAACTCATTTTCACTACTGAAAAAAAAATATACAAAAAATAAAAGGTAGACTGAGAAGTCTCTCTTCACATATAATGGGGATTTTTATTATTTTGTCATTGAAAATTCAATCTTCGAATAATTTTAAAAATGTTTCTTCCTATACTTTTAAGTTTAATGACTTAGAAAAGGAAATCTAAAAATATGCCATCAAACAGTTTCAACTCTTTAACTACATTTAATCCTGAAAAGAAATTGCACTTTTAGAATGCTCAAATGAATGTACATCAATAGCAACTGGAATATTTCTATCATAATCTTAAATTGTCTAGCATCCAAAAAGTGGTGCTCCACGGACTCTGACAGTACAATGATACATGCTGTAATAGCATTCTCCTGCAGATGGTTAACCAAAACTCTTGTATAACATGTTATAAGAGGGAAAATGAGAGGTTAAAATATGGTGTGCTAAGCCAAACATGCCATCTAAATGGTGAATATTCATTTGCTGCATCCTGCTCCAGCCCTTTCCTCAGACAGGGCTCTAAGCAGGCACAAATAAGCCTGTATATTTACAGTGAATACTGCCTAGGTCCGGCTTTAAAACATTTTATTTGCCTTTTATTGTCAATGTCACCTCAAGTCATTTTAGAAGTCTATACATTATTCCAACAATGTTATTTCTATTTCTAAAAGTAATGTATCTTACTGTCCCGAATTGTCTTTAGCATTTGTAGAATAATACAAAAGTATGTTCACCATTAATATATATTCATACTCATAGTAGATTTGACCTTTGGAAATGATAAAATGCCATTCTGTTCTAAGTCTGAAGAAAGAGTCTGTAAGCACACTGGATAATAACAGTGTTTGGGTCAAACCTGAAATACTACTTAGTAATGTGTTTATTCATCTCTATTTGAGTTACTGGAAAATGTACCACAGAAGCTGGTCCAAATTTTCTCTAATCTCTAAATTTGAAGCTCATTCCAGATTCTAGGGGTGAAAGATCCGTAGTTCCTTCAGTCAATGACCTTGTTTTCCCAGTTCACTAAGATGGATGCCCTCCAATGTGAGCTTGTTCGCCTTCACTACTATCCATGTTAAGATTTCTCTAAATCTATATTCCCATCCCTTCTCCCAAAATTAGCTTCTACTGTGTGTTTCTCAAACATGGTGTCTACACAAGCACATTGTATATAATTTTTCCTCTATAAATACATTGTTGGTACATTTGAAGAGAGGCACACAATCTTTCTGCTTTTAATTTAAAATGATGTTTATCTATAAATATATAGAATAGGAATCACAGAAGCCTGAAATATGTGAGCTGGAAGAGATCTTCTTCCAAGTCCATTAATCTTACCCTTCTTTAAATGATAAAGAAACTAAGATCCAAGTAGTAAGTGGCTTCCTTAAAGTCAGAACTAATTAGTGGAAAAGCTGAGATCAGACCTTATAACTATTGCCTCTCATTCTAGCAATTTTTAAAAAATGACTTTATATTGCCTCTTAAAATGACCCAGAATAAGAGAATACATGCAGCTAACCACCGGAGATCATGTATATTTTCTTATTCTAAATGCTGGTGATAAGACTAAAACATAAAACACTAAAATTTATTTTCTATTATTCCAAGACTCCTTTTCCCATAATATATGCTTACAAAAAACTTTACCAGACAGATAATCACAATTTGCTCCAGTCTTGTGTTATCTAATCACAGTGCCAGCCAAAAATTAAGGAGATTCTAAGATTTTCAAAGGGAATTTTAAATATGCTACTTAAAATGAGAACATTAGAAATATAAAGGTCTATTAATCAAAAAGCATGCATTTTCCTTCACCAATAAAAATGACAGCTTCACACAAACATTTTATGCTCAAGCTCTTAAAATCTATTCTAGTAACTGAAAGAGCAAAGACATTTCTTCAGATGCCCTGAAGTAACTTCAGTAATACTCTATAATTTCTAGAGTGATAGCAAAAGTGATTATCTAATCTCCAAGGTAAGTCATAACTTTGAAGAGACAGCAATATGTAAGCACTTTATCTTGCTGTCAGAAGGCTGAAAACTAGAGAGAGCTTTTAGACTTGTGCTTCAATCCTTCTCCCTGCACCCAAAAGGACAGAAATAGTATACTAGTGTTTAACAGGATCTAGAACAAAAGAAAGAAATTTTTGGTAGAAGCTAATAAAATTGTGGCTATGCTTTCATGAAACAAGGAAAAGACAATCTTAGATATAAATAAAATTAAGATATTCATAAAGCTGGCATTTACTCAAAGGTAATTATATAAGACATTAACACAGAAAGGGATAACACAGAGTCTACCAAACCTACACAAAGTAGCTGCATCATCTTAAAAATGATAATTACAAAATTCAAAGAAGCTAAGTCTAAGCAGAGAGGCGGAGAGGGAGAGAGAGAACATTGCAACATTCAGTTGCTATTGATAGCACTGACTAAAGATCATAACAGATAAGACTAGCTAAATATGTCATAGTTCTACAAAGAGCTACCTAACTGCAAATAAGAGCTACAGGAAAGCAATAGGGGAATTTATTTTGGTTGATTGCTTCTAACTATACCCTTTCAATAACCCAATTTTATTTCATTTATCACTTTAGTATAATATGGCCAGTGTTTTTCTTCCATAATGGATTAAAGGTTATGAAGAGGAAACAGTAGCACCCTTATCTTATTAGAAAAAAAAACAATATTCTATGCTTATATTTGAATCCAGAAATATAAAGTACTGCATAAATTAAACAACATTTATAAAGCCTGATATACAAAAACAAGGTAGATTATGTTCTGTGACTAAATTATTAATTTAACAATTATAGCTAATATTTTATAAGCCTTACCTTCTTTGAATATTCCACTGCTTTCTGTTCACTTTCTTCAACTTTTGCCTTGTTCACACAAGAATCTATTAAGATTGACCAAAAGTGATTATAAATTTTGGCATGAGCTCTCTAGGCAAAAGATGGCTCCCAGCCTATAATTCTACTATACAGACTATCACTTTTATGTCAATTGCTATTAAAGGGAAATTGACTTATGCTATAAATAAAACATAAGCTACCACATTTTTTTTCTTTAACATACTAACTGAATTCAATGATAGTATTGTTGAGGTACAAAACAAAGAATCCATAAATATATTTGATTAAATTATTATCATTTCAAGGGTATTCAATAATTTTTCAACTTTTACAATTATAAATTCTGCAAAAAAATTTCTGTAGCTTATTATGGGTGGAGATATGACAAAGACTTAATGTTTAAGATTATTAAGACTCTAAACAATACTTAAAAAAGCTAGAAGGATAGAGTAACATTCATTAATTCAGGCTTCCTAGTAAAGGATTTTACTTCTGATCTGGGTCAAAATGTATCTCATGTATAAGGAAACAAACTTCAAACTTCTCAAATCCAATCAAACATTTCGGAATACAAGTAAGTAAAGAACCTCTTTTGGCAACACTGCATCTCTCATTATTACATATAAAGTCTATTCTGTATCTAGGTGTTCCACACCCAATTATCCAAAAGAAATGAAAACATATGTCTGTACCCTGAGTTGTATTATATATAAATGTTCATAGAAGCTTTATTTATAATAGCCAAAAACTAGAAAGAACCCAAATGACAGTCAACAAGAGACTCTATAAACAAATTGCGGTATATCCACATACTAGAATACTACTCAGCAGTATAAGGGAATGAACTATTGATACATACAATACAAATACATGAATGAATCTCAAAGTATGCTGAATGAAAGCAGACAAAAAGAGAGTACATGCTTTATGTTTCTATTTATATGTAATAAAATTTTATAAAATGAAACTAATAAGAAAGAAACTATAAATAAAATGAAACTGGTAAGAGAGAGATCAGTAGCTGTCTCAGGATGGGAAGAGGTGGGAGGCATGGGAAGGAGAGACTAAAAGGACAATGCAGAAATTTTAAGGAGTGATAAAGATGTTTATGATCTGGACTTGATGTTTAAAGTATACATATAAATATCAAAATTACCAAGTTGTATACTTTACATATAGGTAGTTTTTCTTATTTCAAATTTCCCTTAAAAAGGCTTTGTATTAAAAAAAAATGTGAAGCTAGAGCAAAGAAATGGAGGAGGAAAGTGGTAAGTGATGGGGTCAAAGAGGGGACATAAGTGTGCTGTGCTAGCTATGATTGGTAATGACTTTGATTTAAGTTTCAATAAGAAGGCTCTGGAGAGTTTTAGGCAGAGATCTGATATGATATGATTTATGAAAGAACAGGATTATGAAATCAGAAGAGACTCTAATCTCTTCAGGTCCAAGTGATCTTAAAATAGAGATCCATAGATTCCCTAGAAGTTCTTGAAGCACCTGATAATTTTGGTGTGTATTAACATGGATGTGTCCTAATGAAAGTTCCAGAGCATTCATCAGCTTCTCAAAAAGGATTCTGAACATAAAATATTAAGAACTACTCATATATTTGACTTACTTGATTTCAGAGTTGAGGAAATTGAAACCTAGAGAAGTTAAATGATTTCTTCCATCACACAGGTGACATGTGGATGAGGTCATAAAGGGGTTTATGATGCTGACTATCCACTTTAACCTGGTCCCTTCATTTCTCCTCACCCCCATGCTTTTGAATAATAGTATACAATCATAAGTACCTGGCACACAGTACCCCAAACAAATGTCTGTTTAACACTGAACAAGTGAGCCAAAACCAACAGTAGAATGAGTATGTGTGCCAACTACGGCCCATAATGGATTATAAGCCAATACACATATTTGGACAAAGTCTCTTATGACTCTCTCAACAAAATATAAAATGAACTACTAAGTTTATCAAGCTAAGTGAAAAAATATGCAGTGAGGCTGGTATTCACATTCACTGCCAGGTAAGGTAAACTGGCAAAAGCTTTCTGAAAAACATTTGTCCTATGAAAATTCATACCCTCACTTACAGGAATCAATCCTAAGGAAATAAGAAAAAGCCAAACCTTTATACACAAGAATGTTCACAGGAGATTAATTTAAAATTGTGAAAACCTGAAAACCATCTAGTATACAATAAGAAAGGACTGGTTAAAGTGATTATGATAATCCATAAAATGGAATATTATACAAACATTAAAAGTCACATTTTTGAAGGTTAACATGAAAAAATTATCATAATATAATGCTCCATGAAAAATTAGCATATGGATAGATAGATAGATAGATAGATAGATAGATAGATAGATAGATAAGCAGATAGATAATAAACAGATATAAGGAAATGTACTGAGCTGAAAAGGGAGCAATGGTGTTGTGATTGGTGGTTTGTCACTTATATAAGTCTCTAGATTGCCTACTATAAGTGTACATTACATTTAAAAACAGAAAAGAATGATACATAACAAATAATAATAAAGTATCCATCTTTGAATATTTCTGTGAATCTTCCCTGTGCTATGGAGTGAAAAATAACATAAAATTGGCATTCAACAGCTATTGTTGTCTTTCTTTAAAGATAAATGAGTTCATGCTTGAACCTTAGCAATAGTGATTTCGATTAGGTATAAATAAAACTGCTTAACTATAAGGCCAGATAGCCTAGCATATTTCACAAGGGAGGTTTCACATCATCCTTGAGAAACTGTTCTGGAAACTATTGCTAACTACCAGTCTAGGATGATATAAAGTTATTTCCTGAGCAATCCAAGGAGATGAATATGATCACCTCAAATTCTTTTCTCACTCTCTGCTCTATGAAAATATAAATTGATCTATTTGATTGCCTTAAAAGGTCCCAAGTTACTGAAATAAGCCTATTTCTTTTCTCAAACATGAACACTAATAACATCGCTATAATACTAATGAGACCCTATTGTACACATGATTTCTACAAAACTACTAAGGTACCAGTATAAAATGAATTAAAGGATTTCATAGTCATGCTTCTAAATAGCAAGGCATTCATCTATAATAATACAATGGCTTTTTGTGGGACACTGAGTTTAAATCAAATTCAGTACTGTTAAAATTTGCCAAATAAGTGAATATTTCTAATCACACAAGCAAAACTCTTAAGATCATTATAGTTAACAATCAGCATTTGAGTACCCATGGACACACTGATTTACCAGATATGATTAGAAGTTCAGAGAGAGACCTACCTTTAAAAAGTACCTATTATAAAATAATATATAAAATACAATCAAAGGACAGTGAGGACCATATTACATACCTATCAGATGAGTGAAATCAACATCTAATCTTTGCCTATACTTGAAGTCTGGATCCATACCACTGCAGTGTAGCACTATCTGTGAAACGCATTCCTCAATTATTTTATAATACTGTGGCCTGAAAAAGATAGAAAACATTTGTGAATACCTTTTCTACCTGAGCAAATCAATTTTCCTTAGAAGAGATTCAGCAACTAAGTCTTTTTCTAGTGCCTCCTAGCCGGTATACCCCTTTAGGAGAAATATGCCTAAGCTGAAATATGGTCTGGATGTTACAGTGCCAAACCCATTGTGATGTAATCAGCTGCAAACATTTAGTGACTTAATACTCCAGTTTGAAGGGATTCATGCTTGTGTTCAAAGATATTTATCAACCTTATCTATTTACTTAAGCTACTGCTTTTAAAGTTAATGAAAACAAATGAACCGTTAGTCCTATATCCATGGATACATAAATGGTTCTAGGTACTCACAAGTTCTCAATTTCAATAAGAGTTGAATTTCTTGGCATTAGGTGGCAGGCAATGTCTTGAATTTACTAGAGTACTTTTACTCGAGATAACTATAACAGCTTACAAAACTGGACTAAGCCATTTATGTTACAGACTATTCCAAAGATCTATTTGTGCGACATATTTTAAAAGATCCATTTTAAAAAGCATACACACTTAATATGCATGGCTATAGCCTCGATTTGTCTGAAGTGTCAAAGTTTTTAAAACATATCCTAATTCTGTAATCTGTCAAGGTAATTTTGGCCTTAAAAGTGACCACTCACATATAGCAAAAATTTTTTAAAGGTACTTTTGCATTAAAATTTGGGGTAGATTTAGTATTTGTCAGGGGATAATAAATTCAACAGAGAAAAATCAGTAAGAAGTACTACTGTAGGCAAATTGTGATATAAACTCCCCAAATATAGTGTGCTGGAAACCAGCCAACCAACTAAAAGTTTGAAAATGAAGCCAAATAGATTCTAATTGCTCTTCTATGTGTTTAGTCATGGCGCTGGTCCTAAGAATAAAAATAAATAGTAGAATATATTACACATACGGGGCTTTTTCAAGTCATCATTAGGTCCAGGGTAAATAACACAGGATTATAATTTCAGTCTAGTCAATGACTATTTGGGCAAATGTGGGAAACACACTGTTCTCTTTGAGGCCAGGTTAATCATCCCTAAGTGGAATAAAAGTGTTTGTCACACTTCTGCCTCACATGGATGTTCTTAGGATGCAAAGAATGCCATGTGAGAGTAACTTCTCATTTCCTCATAGTTACAGAGAAATGGATACTTTCACACAAATGATGTCCCTAGGTAACCGAGTACCCATGGGCACAGTATCCCTTTAATTGTTAGAAATTGATTTAGAACACAACAATCATTTTGAATGCATTACAATTTTTTCCTGCTTAAAAACACCACATAATTTAATATTTTAAAGAATTTTCTATGTCTCTGTAACATCATGATACCCACAAAATTATTGTACTGGTCTGAACTATAATAGTTCTCTATGTTGCTTTAGAGCTGTCATTTTTGTTGCAAATTTACCTGACCTAATGGTAGCCTGCCTCTTCCCTTTAATCAAGCAGATTTTTGAAAAATCAAAGAACGTACATTATTAGAATTTCATGCAAATTAGAGCATGAAGAAAAACTAAGATTTTTCTTGAACAGTTTAATACAACATCATGGTCACCAGGTTGTGGATAATTTCAGTCACTCAGAACCTTTTTATAACTTTCTGGTTTTCAGAAATATTCTCAGTTAACTAGATTATAAAACTTTTAACTTTATCGGTTATTTTCATACTCATTTATTTTAAAGAATTACACTACTGGACATAAAACTGAAATATTAGCATTATTATTTTCTTAGATGTTAAGATCACATTTATTACTAAATACTATAAAAGAAATATAACAATTAAATTTTACTTACTAAAATGCACAAGATAAAAATCTAAAAGTTCTACCCTAGAATCTTTGGTGGTGTCTTTATGTTACCATTATCTAGCAAGGAATATTCATCTCAAAGTCAGTAAAATCTGTCAGGTTCATTGCTATCAAAAGTTCTATCACTGAGGCATTCCATTAATATAAGTAAATCTTTCTCTTCTGACCCAATTAAAAACAAATGAACATCTTTTTTAAAATTTCACCTAAAGTAGTCAAACTTTTATACTCTAAGTATGAATACAGGCATGCATTACCTTTTCCCCACTACATAATTTTCCTTTAATGTCCAATTCAAATTATAAACATAGTATTCTCAGAACTATGTCTTACCTGATATAATAATCATTTCTGATGAGTAAAAAATGTTGTAGAATGGATAATAAATAATTTTCAGCAGCAGTGTCCTTCAACATATTATACAGAAGATGGTACACTTCATTCATATCAGTAGAAAGTAAGTAAAGGAAAAAAAAGCAACTAAAAATTTAAAAACACAGATTTAGCATTTTGCTACCATTACTATCCCTAAATGTTCAATTCCGTGATCCAGTATTTTAAAACATTTACATAAAGGAAATAATTCTATGGAATCATTTTAATCTTTTAACTAGAGAAACAGACCTAAAGACTACTTCCAAGACCATTTGAGTGTCAAAACCTTAAATGTCAGTTATTCATTATATTTTAAACCAGATTATAGCTAGTACCATTGGAACAGGAAAACCATCAGTGAAAATGGTTTCTTCTTGATCTCCCTGTCACTGTGATAGAGAACCCATATTGTTCATGTAAGCCACTACTACTCTATTTTCACTACCATATAATATAGAAGGCAAGCGAGCAGTTGTGAACTCCCAAAAGGTCAAAACCAGTTTTGTTTTACCCAGATGAAATACTAACTAAATCTGAAATTATTATTGTTTGCATTGATTTGTATTTCATTATTTGATAAAAAAATGGAGAGTAGAAACTATGGAAGTTGCAACGTTTTTCTTAGTATATAAAAAGAGTGGTAGAAGCTTAGAAGCTTTTAGTAAACTAGAATCAGATTTCAAAAATGGATTAATTTTTATTATAAAAGTGAGGACCTGGAAAATCAACGTAAAATAAAGGTAAAAGACAAGATGTGATCCAACATCCCCAAAATAATCTGAAATGTCAATATTTTCTCTGTAGTAGAATTAAATATATGATGGATTACTTTTTAGATGCCACATAAGAGTGTTGCAAGTCTTACAAGATCTTTCAAATGGCTACAGAATGGATCCAAAAACAGCTTTACGATGAAGTTTGAGCATAAGAGAAATCTATATAAAGCAAGATATTTATTAATTGATATAAAATACTTTTTATATTAGAGAAGCCACTGAAGACTGGCATCACTAATGATGAAGAAAAATTACTAAAAATTATTACTCATAATAATAACATTGTTACTTGCTGCACACACATTTACCCAATACCTATGTGTAAGACTTTCATAGGAGCACTGGAGTAAAAAGATGAAACATAACATTTCTGCCCTCAATCTCAGAGGGGCAGAGAAATGTACATAAATAAAATAGAACTAACAAACTACTGTGGGAGTTTCAAGGAGGGGAATATTACTTCTAGTTTTTGGTGGGGAGTGGAGAACACAACACTGAGAAAAAGTCCAACTCAAAGGTCACTTTGGTTCTGAAGTGTTTCCCAACCTCCCCAGAATCTGTAAGAAATTTAATGGGTGTGAACCAAAATGGCCAGCAATGCTATGACAATCAGCTCTTAGATCGAAAATCATTTCATACAAAATCATTGCTACAGGAAGATTATATATTAGCTGTATTTGACTCAGATGCTTCTATCACATGGCCTTGTTATAGTCAGATATGATTGTATCGAAATATTTTCGTTATTGTTAAGGAATATAAATATTTGAATAGGGAATAAGAAATTTATTTGGATTGAATTATATCTCTAAGTGATTGGAGTACCATTTATAATAATAAACTGAAAAAGCACATTACCTATCGTCACATATGAACTCAGTGAACTTTTCCCAAAAAATCCTTACACATAAGATATATTGCCTTAGGCTCTCCTCTATTCAAGACCACTGAGCAGAGTATACGTATAATACAATGAGCCTTTGTGCAGCTTTCAATATATTCTGTGTAAATCATCAGGACAGTCTGACAGTTCCTCAGCATGAATCTCAAGGACAGCATCATAGTGAGGTTCTAATGTAAATAAATGGATATAAATTGGGCTGGCAGACAAGAACTCTAATAATGGTCCATAAAATTGCCCACAAATCCCTTTTTCACAATACATGCAAAATTATTTTTGTGGTTTGTCAAAGGATATTCCATTTCTGCACGAATGTCATTGAGACGGTGTGATAATTCAGTTAGGTCGTCCTCTTTGTTCTCATCAAATACTTTCAACTGAATATCAAGCTCATCATTCTCCTTTTCTTTTAGATCCTAATATATAAACATAAAACTTAACAGACGAGTAACAGTTTGACAACAGCATAGTTTGATAATAAAGGCCAGAACACAATCATTCATTTATATACACAGAAGCAATTTCAAATATTGACCCAGGCACTGTTTTCCTGAAAGAAAGTAAATGTAGCTAAGTTTTTCTATTTCAAAATAAAAGGACCTCATTGCATTCCTTGCATTTCTCTTCCCATGCCCCAGATTTTGACTCTTCACATAAAAAAAATTAACGATCACTTCTACAACAGAAAAAAACTAATTGCTAACAACCCAAATTAAATGCTGTCCTTTCGACTAAACACACTAATCAAAGATTGCGAAAGAACTCATGCAGTTAGAACATTCACATATGCCTGTGGCAAAAAATGCAAATATAGATCAATTGTATTAGTGAAGAACAAATGCAAGGATATATTCAAGCACAACAGTCCCAAGTATGGCGTTAGAAGTCGTATAAACAAATTTAAATGATATTTTGTGATTTTAAAGCAAAAAGGCGTTAGGATTTTTTATCAAGCTGTACATCTGGTCTCCTCCCCCACCTTTCATTTTTGCTTAGCCTAATCACAAAATACCAACTTGGGCATAAAAGATATGTTTTTGTAATACATTATAAGCACATGCATTACAAACCTCTGATAATTTTCAAAATAATAGTATAAAAAAACTTGGGAAGCATGCCACACTAGAGATTGTTGGGCTTAATATATATCACCTGGAATATCTTTTAATATGTGTCCATTAAGTTGCAGCTTTCAAAACCCAAATCGATAATCACAACAGTGGATGCTCAAGGGTGATACCGAAAGTGGGACTAGGATGGGATGTTCAGAGCTGAGCTTGAACTCTAAAAGGAAATGCAAGCATGGTGTACTTCAAATTAGGTAGATAAAACAAAATGGGATGCAATTTTGCATCTACTTTTATCCACTAGAACAATTATAAGTGGAGATGTAATGGCTATTACTGAAGCCAAACACAAATTTAAGTAATTTCTTGATGTTCTTTTTCTAATATTGACATACATAATACTAATAATTTACTGAAAATTTACCTAGAGAGCATATGAAAATACTGTTACTACATAATTTCATATAAAACATACAACAAATAAATGTATTTACACTTAAGTTTCCTCTTTAATAACGATTTGCTTTAGGTCTAGTTTTGCACTTTAGAGGGGAATGAAGAAATTTATTGGAATATGAAATTATCTCACATTGGTGGATCATATTATCAGGTCATTTCTGATCTCTATTTAGAAAATCATAGAAGCCAGACACACTCAATATGCTGGTCAGTAAAGAAACAACCTTTCACACATTTTAGAGCATGGACTTTTCCTTATTCTTATCTCATAATGTATTCTTTCTTAGACATTCATAATAAAACTTAAACACTTTCAAATATATTTGAAAGACAGAGAAATTTAAGTTAAATACTATTATTTAATTAGCATGAGGACTTTACAAAACTCAGAAATCCATCTGCTCTAGACGTTATATACTATGTGAGCATATATAACACAATATAAAAATATAGACATGTATAGATGCAATATTTTATAAATATTCTTTACTATTAATGCTCCAGGCCTATTAAAATATAGTAAGACCTCAACATCATCCATAGGTTCTTGAAAACTGTCACTTGAAGCAAAATGTCATATAAGAAAACCAATTTTTTTCTCTTCAACATTATAATGAAATGACATTACTTGAGGACCTGATATACATGGTTTCACTTCAAGATGTAGTTTCCAAAATCTATCAATGACACTGAGAAATTACTGTAAATATATATGCATACACATACATCTATAGAGTTTAAATTTATAAAACTTTCTGCCAAATGTTAAACCTTGAAAGATATATCCATAAATTCTTGATAAAGTGAAAATATAATGAATTTATAAAATTTATATAGCACAAATAACAACAGATATCCTACAAAAGAAAATGGAAATGTATCACTAAAGTTTTATATTTTAAAATGTGGAATATCATAAAATTACTGAATTATATTATAATAATAATGTGACTTATTATAAATATTCTTCAGTTATTTTTTAAACAGACCTGCTGCACACATATGGAACCTTTTTTTTTTACAGAATCTCTGAAATATATAATTAAGTTTCTATAACATCATATTCTTCAAAGGAAATCAATGTCTATTACCAATGCACTACTGATTACCAAACAAGTAAAATTGAGTCTTCAAAAGAATAAGAGTTTGTCAGTCTTTTCAAAACAGATAAAGTATGCCCACTGCCTACAAACACAATTTCTTACTATGTTTTTCCTTCACATATCTGATTTACCTAATATTTACTTAATTTATTTAACTTAATAAAAGGCAGATGGAGAAAACTTCACAAGAAATCAATGTCAATTAAATACAGAGCAAATACAATATTAAAAATCACTACAGAGTTTGTAACACATTTATTCCAAGATACTAAAGCAAATTTATCAAAAAATGAATTTTCCATATAAATAAAATATAAATGCACTTTAAACACCAAAAATTCACCATAGGAATGGGAAGAATTTTGAAAACAAATTTATATAGTATATAATTAAAAGAATTGCCTTATCTTGAGGATCCTGAGAATATTATGAGAAAAGCGTCACTCTACTATAATATGATGTTGCCCTTAAGTGTTACTGAAATACTAAGAACTTTTTCCCTAATACTTAATGGTTCTAGATAGGTATAATTTTTTACCCATGTACCAACAATTAATATTAGTCCTAGCCATGTTTAATTTGCTCTTTTCAATATGTTATATTTTAGAAAATGAGGGGGCTCTCTTCTCATTAGAACTGTGTATAAAATAAGAATAAACAAACTGGGTACAGCAGCACGTGTCTGCAATCCCAACAACCTGGGAGGCTGAGGCAGGAGGTCTGCATGAGCCCAGGAGTTAGAGACCAACCTGGGCAATGTAACGGATCCGCCCCCCCTTTTTAATAAAAGAAAAAATAGAAAAAAAGTAAGGATTTTAAAGGCTCGTCTATGAATATATTATTAAGCTTCACTGCATATATAAAGGATGTTTAATGTCACTATAAATTCCAGTGGTTTAAATTTAAATATTTAATTAGACAGTGAGTTACATAGTAATTGACATGTGAGGTATCTACTATACATTAACCCGTGACCATTCTGTCCTGCTCAAAACTGTCATAAACTACAACAGCAGAAGTGAAATCTATGGTGCTAAAGAAATGATCTCCAATCTTCTCAAGGTCTATCTGCTGGATTCTAATTTTCATTTTATATATCAGAAATACCTGGGGAGGATATATATATATTTTTTAGACTAAAAATCTATGCCCTACACCCAAAAAAATTTTGCCAATCTTACTTTAGGGAGACATGCCCAACCTCTTGCTTGAGAATCAGAGCCATATTTATTCATATTCAGCTCCATTGTCTTAGAAGGAGAAAAAAATTTTGAGAATCCCTGTAGGTCCTATTCCAAAATTTGATAAGCAGAAATATAACACTACCCCCACTCACTTGATGAGGAATCACTGAGATCTGAGAAGCAAAGGCATGCTGAAGAGATGTGAGAAAGTCTAATTGGAAGTATATATTAAGAATACACATAATAAGAAGTACATGGTACCAGAAGAGGCTTTATATAGGGGTATATGACCAATGGAAAAGTATAGCTTAGCTACACTGATGCATAATCTCAGCTGTCAGTGTAACCTAATGAATAACATACCATGAAATCACTGAGCCCAGCAGAAATTAATGTACCCAGAAAAATGTACAAAAGGTAAGGACAAGAATTACTATATCATCCCTTTTCTAAAAAGATAAGGACTAAAAGAAATTAAAATGAGACTCACAGGTTTTTTTTGACTAGCCATTCAGTAGTAGAAGGCAGAAAATGAATGGTCAATTATAGAGGGAAATGAAAGATGGAAGAATAACAGCAACAAATAAAGCAGAAAACATGGCATATTAGTAGTAAGTGAGTAGAGGGTGCAAAAGAGCCCTTATAGCCAGCAAGTGTCCAAAGATATTACTTTCTCCCAAATAGAGAACTAGCCCAGTAAGAGCAAGCATGAAAACCAACAAGGCAACTCAAAAGCAAATTAGAATCAAAATTATAAGATCATCTCTAGCTACCTAAGGCCACAGACTTTGTATAAGGAGAACTCAGTGATAAAATAAGGTTAAATATGTTACACACAATATAACCTGCACACTGAACCTCTACATAGATCACTTAAAATATTGCTTCTATTTACTGCATCCAGTTGCTTGGTTTTTAAAGTCAAGAACTGAAGAACCACTCAAGGTAGGATTGACATAGAAATTTCCAAAACCCAGTAAACTGAATCATATATCTTATTAAAATGGGTTTAATAGCCCCAACCATGTAACTTACTATGAGGGGTTTCAACCACTTTGAGTTACGAGTTCCTGATTGTAAGTTACAGATATGTGCTGCACAATAATTCCTCACCAGGAAATTTTTCCAATTTTGGTCTTTCTAGTAAACTAAGTTTTGTATACATCCTCATTGACATTCGTTGTTCTTTTTCTTTCCTCGGTCCTTTTTTACCCCCTCCCTTACTTTTATTTCTTGTCACTCAGGTGTGTTCTCAGTAGCTTAAATGAAGTAACTAGTGAGATATTACTTGTTTCCTTTAACAATGTCATAGTCCTGAATAAAGTCACTTTTCAATTAAGATACTTAATAAAATATAAAGCCACAGTAGTTGCACTAATATTTATAGAATAACTGTGCTCATTTATCTCAGATCCAGCCTATAAAGCCATTCCACAAATTTTTAACATTATCATAATTAGAGCAAATGTTCTCATTCAATTTAGGAAATAAAATTATTTTTGTTTAGAAAAGTTTCTAATCCACTGTATCAAGAGTGCTAGTCTTAAGCAATGTGTCTAAAATATATTACTAATCAAAACTCTATGCATACTTATGATAAATGCAAATGAAATCAAACTAGGTTACCAAAGAACAATGAAGAAAATTTTAGATGAAAATTGAAAATGCAAAAAAAATCCCCACATTTTATGTTCTTGATATTCAAAATTCAAACAAAAGAAGTTCTCTTTTGACTTGAGGAAGACAAAAAACAACAACAAAAAAATGACTTCTGAGCACATAATTAGCTAAATTCTGAATCATACCTTGCATATAGACACTGATATTTTGGCAATCTCAAAAAGCTTACAAAATGTTTACTGGTTTACAAAATAAAATTGCAAGGCACATTTATTTAGTCTGCTTCAAGAAGTACTTTTATCCAAAGAGAAAAAAAAATACTAATGCTAATCAGCATAATAAATGTGTACACTCAACTTACTGGCAACATGGATTTTAGTCCTGAACGGAGAAATTCATTCCTTAAATGTATTCGGAAATCAAGCTCATAAGGAGAAGTGACAAGGGCATTTATAAACTGCATGCAGGCCACCTGCAATTAGAAAGCAAATTTTGTTTAAAAACACATTTAAATAAGTTAACAAAATATTTACTTAATGCATTCAGATAATGCATTCGTTAAAGGCATACATATATTATGAAACAAAATAAGAGATACAAATATTTCTACAAGTACAATGACGATTATGACTTTAAATTATAAACAACAAAATAAACAATAAAGTTTCTGATAACCAAAAGAATTCTAAAAAAAAAACACGTGATGGATGGTCAAGTATGTTATGCTTTGCTACACAATATGAAGGAATATGAAACACCCTCAGAGAAACCCAAAGTTCCAAAAGTGTGCATATAGAACCCTTTGAAAAGATCATGAAATTTATCTTTCATATCCAGCTGTCCTCAGAGTGCACTTGGTCTCAATTCTACAAGGTTATAAACACTTTTCTAAAATAAATCAAAGTTGTAAAAGTACTCTAAATATTAAACAAAGAACGATAACTTAGAGAAATTATTACATTGATTTACTCTCTCTCCATCCTCTTATTGGGATGATTTGCACAAAATATATAGAGTATTAAAATATATAATTAAGATGGATTAACTTACTAGGTATGAAAAAAATTTATGCAAGTGAATTAAGATCAACTAGAAGGCACTGTGACATTAATGCACATTGCATAATAAAGCATATATAAGGGCTTGTTTTCAAATAAAGTGCTTTATTAAATATTCTGACACTGGGAAATAAGTTTAGCTTTTAATACCTTCTGATTTTGAGGTTCCCTATTATAAGACGGGACATATTTTCTCATAATTTTAAGCTAGAAGGGAATCAACAAAATAGTAATTGTCAGGTGTTCCATACATTATTCCTGGATAGCATTTTTGGAAAATGGTGCTGAAATAGAAGGCAACTGGCTAATAGTTCAGTTGAAGAGCTGCACATTTAAATTGATTATTTTAGAAAGCATGGAATGAGTAGTGGAAAGTTCAAAGAGCTAACAGCAAGGGAACTCCTTGAAAACACCAGATATATGGTAAACATATTAAGTATATACAGAAGCGGACACAAATAAATCAATAGATAGTATAGAAAGGTCACATCGCCAGAAGAAAAATATTTCAGATGTTATTTGACTTGACTTCCAGACCTATTATGATAGAGTTATTTTTTTCAAGAAAGGGATAAAAGATCAAAAAGTATGTTTTACTTTTGTATGTGTATCTTATACATTTAAGCTACTTTGGGGGAGATTAGCCCATCTCACATCCACGTTCAAAAATCAAAGTTACATGCTTCAAAAGGGATGATTAAGGTTGTTTCCAACATTACTAGCTATCTAAAGGATAAATGAACAATGTAGTCCAATTTTTACGAATGTTCAAATATGAAGATAGAACACTTAGACAACTGACTAAATATTTGCCATAGACTTGGCATCACCTTAAAAGACATACCAGATTAGTTATTATGAAGCTTATGCCTTAATAGATTATTTAACCTTCCTATTTACATTAGAAAATCATGTCAGTCTTTATATAGTTTCAATAGGCTGGGCTATAAATCTGCATACTGTACATGTTCATAGCTATATTATCACTGTATTTGCTTGAATGATTCTTGTTATGTTACAACTGTGACATGACCAAACAAGCCAAAGTACATGTCCAATCCAAAATTAATAGACAGAAAAGTTGCCATCTGCTACGATTGTTTTTGCCAGAAGAAATTCTAGCTTAACGGCTTATATTAATACTGTACAAGTAAAGAGAACATTTCCATGAGAAACAAGTTAATGAGTCTTGCAATTATACCTTTACACAATTAAAAGTATTTAGATCAGGAGATAATACAAGTCAATAAAATTAATTAATGTATCAACATGAAAATAACTTTATATTTAATAAGATAAATGCAAAGCTATTAAAACTCACTTTATATATGAATATATACAGTAATACTAAAACATTACACTATAGTGGGATATTTTGCACCAAATAGAGTATTAAAATATATAATTAAGAGGGATTAACATACTAGGTGTGAAAAAAATTAACGCAAGTAAATTAAGATCAACTAGAAGGCACTGTGACACTAACACTAATGCGCACTACATAATAAAGCATATATAAGGGCTTGTTTTCAAATAGTGTTTCATCCATTCACGATAACATACAATAATTAGGAGACCCTTTGAAGTCAGTAATTTCAACAGGTAAAGGCACTGGTTTAACAACACACCATTTATTGTTTATCAAATTCCAATAGATATCTAACTAATTACAAATAACATGAGTCATTTTCAATATCATCTGTTAAATACCTTTTCATAGAAATATTTATATTGCATGAATGTGGGGGACAAAAATATTATCTTAATTATTTCTATTCCCTTACGTTACCACATAATTATTGTCCTTTTCGGAGAATAGGAACATTGTCAAACTCAAACTGAAATAATTATCACTATTTACAAATACAAGATGAAGTTTTAAAAAGATAATAGCTTTATGGGAAGAATATACTTTTTTACTTAACTATAAACTGGGTATAACTGAAATACCCATGTGTGGATTCCAAATTTAATGCTAAATACAAACCCCCAAACTATTGTCATCATCATTTTTGTTACTGTTAATGACTAGACAATATATTAGGTGCTTTATATAATTCACCATCTAATCTCATCCTCATAAAAACCACACGAGGTGTTACTATTGTCCTTATTTCACAGATGATGAAGCTGAGCTTAAAACAGATAAATAATACATATAAGGTCACACAGGAAGAAGCAAACTCATGATTCTGAACTATGTATCTTACTACAAACAGAATAAATTCCAGCACATTCCAAATGTATCATAAACCCCATTCACAGATTCATACAACAAAAGTTTTTAAGGATGGGTACAATAATGAAATTTAACTGGTGTATCACGCTTAATTTACTAGAAATCGCTAGCTTGAAAACTATAGGTTAATTAGAAAAATATATAATTATGTTAACAATATGTTGTTTGTTTAGTATATAAAATGGTTATCATAATATATAATGGAATGCAAAAAACGAAACAAGCAAAAGTAGATTTGTGTATTTGGTTAAATTCCACTTCATATACATCTTAAGCAGTAAAGTATGGACAGTATCCAAAATAATGACTTTCACTCCCTCTCCTTTATGTCCTGCTACCCCACTCCCTACTCTGCACGCATATGCATTCAAACACATGCACACATACACGTGTACACATACACACACACACTAGAGCACTGTGCTGTTCAATATAGTAGCCACTAATCACAGTTTACATTTAATTACAATTAAATTAAGTTAAAAATTCAATCACCCAGTTTCACTAGCCATAATTCAAGTGCTCAATAGCCACACGTGGATAGTGGCTACCATATTGGACAATAGGGACACAGTACATGGGAATAATAGTGACTGAATAGCACTATACCAGAGATTTTAAAGAAAAACTCTTCTGAACTAATCTCTAAAACCTAAGCTCCAAAGAAGTACAAAACTCACTTTTGAATAAGAAAAGTTTCAAAATTGGTATGCTCAACTTCCAAGTATATAAATCTTTAAGAGCATTAGCAAACTCTATTGTCCTTTTACAATACAAAATCAATCTGCTTTCAAAAAAAAATCCAGCTCCAGAGATAGAAAATAAAGAATCATGGGATTTTAAAACTAGAGAGAACATAAAACACTCTGGTCCATTATGTTCATTTAAAAGTAAAGAAATTAGAAACCTAGAAAGAGTAGATGATTTACCCAAGATCACACAACTAATAAGCCTCAGTGATGGGACTAGAATTCAGGTCTCATGATCTTTAGCCTTGGATTCTTTCTAACATGCTATAATGCACAAATCTGGCCTTGCTGAGTATCATTTCTCCTTGTACTGGAAAGAAAACAAATGCCCTTGAATTGAATATCACAAAGTCCATTATCCAGAGTTCCTCTGTTGCTTAGTTACTTTATAATGGCCTTAAGTTCCAAAATGGTCTGCCATATCTCATTTTAGTTTTAAATACAGTATCCATGAGAATCAAAATTTAAAAATCACAAAAAAATCAGTGAATTTTCTCCATTATTAATAAATACACCAGGCTAGGACCACAACTCTGATGTTCAATTAGTATATATAATCAGTTTTTGTATTTGCATTTTTATTCAGTGATCTTTTGTCATATGGAGATTTCTACATATATATGATATTTAGTAAACACATAAGCATATATAGATAAAACTATCAATTTTATGCATCTGATAAAGCATCCACTAGCTTGTGCCATAATTAATTATACACTAAAATGAATCAAAATCAGTTTTTCAACCACATAATGATCCTTCATTATAATAGTATATTCTATTTCTACAATAATCATCTACATTCTTTAGTGATAGGATGCTATTGTTTTTATTCGGGGGGGTCTGGTATAGAGGATGAAATATCACAAAATGGATTATAAATTTTCTAAAGACAAGGTTCTTCTGTGTTTAGGGTTTACTTTGTAACTCCTGTTACCTACAAAATGGTTAAAATATAGCAAATGAATAACATTTAAATATTTCAAATTTTATCAGTAAGAGATATACCATTACAAAAAGAAATTGCTTTCAGTTTCTTACCTAAGTGATAAAGGAAAATATTTAAACATGAATATCTTCACAAAAATACTGGGGAAATGCTAGAACCTTTCATTTATTTTAACTTACCGGCTTTGAAAACTATATAAACATCTATCTATTTGTTTGATCACAATTCATAGAGCTATGGAGTACAATAATTGCCAACTCTAGGGCATTCTCAGACAGATTATCCATATTGCCATTAGCTGTGACAAATTGTACATATAAAATTTTATTGACACTGTCACACACTTGACCTTATTAAGTACTCTGTTGACATTAACAAGGTCTTTCTTTATCCTAGCCCAGCAGGAGTTAGGAAAAAAGATGATTTAGGTCAAAATAAGTACCGACAAAGAAAGATACAAATGTACAGAGCAAGTTA